GGAGGAGCGTGCCGACATGGGCGTCGACGTTTCTGCACGTCGACTGATTCGCACGCCGACTCACTCACAATCAGACTCACTCACGCTCAGTCTCTCGCACACAGATCTATCGTGTGCCCCGCCACGCATTTCGGCATGCCCCTCACACAGTTCGTGACCCCATAGGGAGCGCGGGCAAAGATGAGATTCATCATTGCGGTATTCACAACTGCATATGGTTGGGTCCTTCGCCAGGATATATTTCTTTAGGGGTGGGTCCTGGGAAACGGTCTGCCAAAATCCCCCCCTTGATGTCTTCTTGGGGTGGGGTGGGGTCCAGAAGGTCCAAGGGAGACCACCCCTCGATGGTTTGTTCTGAGCGGTTTTAAGGAGGTCCGGGGTAAACCTCCTCCCCGAAAAACGAAACGTCGTTCGGTGGGTTTTTTCGGGGTCCTGGAAATTCTGGAAGAATCCCCCCATCAAGAACTTTCCAATCGTCCCCCTTGAATCGAAACTCAGCAAATTGAATTGAAACCCAGGCGGATCCAAACCAAATGTATCCAATTCTGGTCGAATCCAAACCGGATGAATCGAGACGGTTCGAATTAAAGCCTGTGCGAATCGAGGCCCAGGCTAATGTAAACTAAGCATCGCAAAGCGGGCACATCGAAACATAATTAACCGAAGCGGGTGAGTCCAAGCAGGTGAGCCGAAGCGGGTGAAACAACGCTCGGCCGAAACAGTACCGTAGCACCACGCAGATGCGGATAAGAGTGAGGGGACCGTGGGGACGTTGGCAGTCTGCGAGACTCTGGAGAAGCCCGCCGCAGGCGCCAAAGCTTCACAAATCATACAACGAGCCCGCCACAGGCGACGATTTTTTCGTTAAACCAATGTGGGTAGATCGCGGGTGGGTCGCGGGTGGGTCGCAAAAAGGTCGCGGCTGGGTCGCGGGTGGGTCGCGGGTGGGTCGCTGTTGGGTCGCGGGTGGGTCGCAGGTGGGTCGCGGGTGGGTCGCGGGTGGGTCGCGGGTGGGTCGGGGGGGGTCGCGGCGGGTCGCGGTTCGCTCGCAGATGGGTCGCGGGGTGGGTCGCGGGTGGGTCGCGGGGGGTGGGTCGCCGGTGGGTCGCGGGTGGGTCGCGGGGGGTGGGTCGCGGGGGGTGGGTCGCGGGTGGGTCGCGGGTGGGTCGCGGGGTGGGTCACGGGTGGGTCACGGGTTGGGTCGCGGGTCTCGGAGTGGGTCGCGGGGTGGGTCGCGGGGTGGATCGCGGGGTGGGTCGCGGTTGGGTCGCGGGTGGGACGACGACAACAAACAATAACAACGCAACAACGCAACAAACATAATCCTCACCACAGATCCGAATTTCAGCCACGCACCCAGGTACAAGGAATGACCGTTCGGCCCCCTCACTCAGACGGAATGTTGGCGCCCTCTTGGGGGCCTCCGCCTCCATGGCCGCCTTTATTGGTCGATCTCGGGAGCCTCTTGGGCTATCCTGGGCGTCCCGAGGGTCAAACCAGTGAGCATGCGGAAATCTCCCGAAGGGCATTGCTGCTGGAGCCTTCCTGGGGTGTCTTGGGGGCACCTTGGCCCATCAAGGTGCCATCCTGGGCCGTCATATGGGGGCCCCTTTCGCCGTCTCCAGCCCCCTTCGGCTGCCTGGGGCACCTCTTTTGGTCCGTCCTGGGGCCCTCCGGAAGCCCTCTTGGGCCGTCGTGGAACGTCCTGGGGTCGACCGCGAGCGCGCAGGGGCCTGCTGCCTGTCCTCATTCGCACGCGCGGGCTCCTGCACTGTGAGAGAGACGACGTCGGGGTCCGGCTGCGCCTCCCACATCTCGCTGAGTAGCGCCAGCGCCGGCGGCCACTGTGCGCACTTCTCGCACGCACGGGTCCTGACCTGGCAGCAGACCAGGGCGGACCCATGCAACGGCACCTACAATGGCTTCCTGCGGGATAATCGCCGTGACTGGATCGCTGCTACGACGTTGCCTCGAACGCAAAATTCTCGAAAACGCGAAAGACCGATCTCAGGATAGCCGGGGAATCTTGCACAGTCATGAGAAGATCTCTCGCACGCTGAGATACCCCAATTGTAGCTGGCGGCTTCGGGATCTAAACTGCTATCCCGCATGTCGCCGAGCAACAACAACGCCTGCCGCCATTGGCCGCATCTCTCACACGCGCGGATCTCAGCGCTGTAAACGGTAACGCCGGGCTCTAGCTTCGCCTCCCTCATCTCTCCAAGCAGCGCCAAAGCACGTTGCCACTGCTCTCCTTTCTGGCACGCGTTGATCCCAGCGCTGTAGCCGATGACGGTGGGCTCCAGCTTCGCCTCCCACATCTCGCTGAGTAGCACCAAAGCCCGCTGCCACTGCTCGCCATTCGCGCACGCGCTGATCCCAGCGCTGTAGCTGATGACGTCGGGCTCCAGCTTCGCATCCCTCATTTCGCCGAGCAGCGCCAGAGCCCGCTCCCATTGCTCGCCCTTCTCGCACGCGCTGATCCCAGCGCTGTAGCTGACTAGGGCTGACCCGTGGACTCCGTCCACAACATCTTTCTGGAATGGTTCTCGGAGGAACGGCGCAGATTGCACCGAACATCTACAAACACGGCGGCGGCTCGGGCAGCGGCAGCGAGACCGCGCCTTCGTGTCCGAGCTCTTGCAGCGCTCCAGCAGCTTGGCCCCGGCGCACTGCTCGTTCACCCCCCTCCTATTGAGGGCAGTTTCGAAGTCTCTCGGGGATGTGCGTCGAAGTCGAAGCCCATCTGAGGCGTCTCGGGAGCGCCTGGGGAAGGGCTCGGGAGGCCATCCCGGAAAACCACCAAAAGTGCCGGGGAGCGCAAGGATCTACAGGGAGGGCAAAAGAGAGCTTAGAGAAAATTTGGCGTTCAGTAAAATCTTAACAGGAACCGCTGTTGGGTCGGCCATCACCTCTGGGCACGCCTTGATGGTGCGATCCAGTCGCATCGCCGCCAACGGGAGGGTTTGTTCGCCAAGTCCCATTCTGCTCGCCCAGAGGGTCTGTGGTCCGAAGAGTGCGGAGAGGTGCCTGGGTCATATCAATTGGCTGCTGTCCCAGGGGTCCGGTCTGGTTGGCCCGAAGAGATTGCCAAGGCCCCTGGGGGAACATAATGGCACAACATATCGGGCAAAGGGGGGCGGTAGCTGGCCTGTCAGACCCGGCGTTCGTCTTCTGCCCAAGCGGCGCGGGGCCCACGGGCCCCAGGGTTGGCGGCCCACTGGGTTTCCTCTTGTTCGCCCACAGGGTTGGAGGAGGCCTCCAGGCGGACAGAATGGGGCAGGACAATGAATGTGGGAGACTTGTTGTAAGCTCCCAGGCCCCCCAAGTGTTCGCCCGAAGGGTGTGGGGCCGTTTGGCTCCCTCAAAGGGCCGTCTTGGAGCCGTCTAGGCCCGTCTTGAGGGCGCCGTTTGCCGTGATGAGGCCGTCTTGGTTCGTCGTGGGCCCCTCATGGGCGCGGCCGTAGGCCGTCCTGGGCCCATCGGGGTCCTTGTTGGCACTATCTTGGGGCTGTCTTGGAGCCGTCTGGGGCCGTGACGGGGCCGTCTTCGAGTCGTCTTGGGCCCCTCCTGTGCGCCTCCTTGGGCCGTCCTGGGCCCAGCAGGGGCCGCGTTGGCACCCTCTTGGGGCTGTCTTGGAGCCGTCTTGAGCCGTCGCAGCGCGCCTTGGGTTGTGCTGGGGCCGTCTTGGCCCGTCTTGGGGCCTTCCTGGGCGTTCCCTCGGACCCTCCTGGGACTTTCTGGGGCCTCTTGGGGCATCCGACCGCCGAAATGGCGGGAAACGCAAAAAGGCTGTAGCAATAAACAATGGAAGTAAACGATTTTTGCCAGCTGGGGCTCTCTGGCCATCTTGGCCCGTCTTGAGGCCCCGACTGGGCGCCTCCTTGGGCCGTCCTGGGCCTATCTGTGGCCGTGTTGGCACCCTCCTGGGACCGTCTTGGAGTCGTCTTGGGCCGTCTCGAGCGTGCCTTGGGCCGTGCTAGGCCCGTCTGGGGTCGTGTTGGCACCCTCGTGGAGCCGTCTTGGGCCGTCTTCAGCGCGCCTTGGGCCGTGCTGGGGCCGTCTTGGCCCGTCTTGGGGCCCTCCTGGGAGCCCCCTGGGGGCCTCCTGGGGGCGTTTTGGGTCTTCATGGGGCGGCCTTGAAGTCTTCCAGGGCTGTTTCGAATGTCCGAAAGCTGAATTGGCGGCAAGCGGGAAATCTTTGGAAAAGCCTAGGACAACGAACGAGTTTGACCTCTCGGGACCCTCTTGTGAGGCCTTTGGGAGGCCTCTCGGAGCGCCTTGGCGCTCGCTTGGGTCGTGTGGTGCCCATTTGAAGGCCTCGTGGACGCTCTGTGGGGCTTCCCGGATCGTGCAAGGACCGTCTGGGGCCCTCATGGCGCCGTGTGGGGCCCTCATGGCGCCATCTGGGGAGCCTCCAAGGGTCCTGGAGCGCCCGAAGGCTCCCGGAGCGCGCTCCAGGGCGCTCTGGACCGCTCCCCAAAAGACAAGCATGGAAGGGCCCCAGAACGTTGAAAACAGCTCTTGTGGGCAAGCGGTCCCGCCCTCGCCTCTCGTCCGACCCCCCTCTCTTAGAGGCAAAGGGGAAGCCACTTAGGGCCTCTTGGGGGCCGTTTGGGGGCCTCTTTCCGGCCTCCCGGGAATCCCTTGGGTCCCTCTTGGGCCGTCTTAAGTGCCTCTTGGGCCGGCTTGGGGCCGTGTGGGGCCGTCTTGGGCGCAGCTCGGACCGTCTTGGGGCCGTCTTGGGCCGTTATTGACCGCTCTTTGGGCTGTCTTGGTTGCCTCTTGGGCCGTCTAGGGCGTCTCTGGAGCCGTCGCGGGCCCGCCTCGGGCCGTTTGGGGGCCCTCCTGGGGTGCTCTGGGGGCGTCTTGGGGCGATCGGGAAGGCCTGTATAGCTGTCTTGGACGCGGTGAAGACGAAAAGAGCGAGCACATAAAAAAATGAATGTTTTCCGAAGGGAAGGGGCAAATGTTTGCCTCTTGGGTCCCTCCTGGGGGTC